CGGGATTTGTCAAGGGGTGTGGGTTTGTGTGGGGGTGGGTATGGTGTTTGTGGGAGGGTCTGTGGGTGATGTGGGGTTTGTGGGGAGTTGTGGGTGGGTCAGTATGGGGGTTTATGCGGATGTGTGTGTGTGGGTATTGTATTGTGGGTATGGGAGCCACAGGATTCAGAGCAGCTGGTGGGTGGGCAGGAAGGTGGAGAAAGTGGCAGCAGGGGAGGGGGGGAGTGAAAATGGGCAGGCGTGCAGGAGTGCAGGGCCTGTGAGGCCCAGAGTGGGGTGGTAGAAGCAGGGGGTGTGAGCTGGCAGGGGTCTATGGCAGGGATTCCCAACCTTTTTATACTGTTGACCTGCAAACACTATAATTTACAGATTTAAATTTTAATGTACATGTTTAAATTTAATTTTTATGGGGGGGTGGAGTTGCAAGGATTGGATGGGGTTGGGGCACTGGGGGACCCTGCAGGGGAGGGGGCTGCACAGGTAGTGGCCCAGGGGGACCCAGTTGGGGCTGCCCAGAAAGAAGGGGTTCTGCTGCCTTTCCTAGCAGCAAGCAGCAGAGCTGCCTCCCCATCCTCTGCCCTCGGCATTTCCCTTCCTGCATCCCCCTGATCCAAGCTGCAGGCAGGGTTGGAGGGTCCTGCCTGGCCTGGTGTGGGGCACGGTGCATGGGCAGCACCTTACCAGGCTCAGCCATGGTGGTGGGAACAGGACAGGGCACACAGAGCCAGTTTTCTCCCTCCCAGGGCTGTCCTGCCTCCAACACTTAACTACCGGAGCTGGAAGCCACAGCTCCCATCCAGCTGCCATGCACCTGCTCACTCCCAGCCCCACCTGTCTCAGTTCCATGACACAGGCAGGGAAGATTGCAAGCAGCACCAACTCCATGCGCATCCTACTGGCCCATCCAGGCTGAGCAGCAGTGGTGGCAGGGAACAAGCTGCGGCTCAGCATGGGAGAAAAGCAACTTCTCCCCCTCCTGCCACCAGTGCTCCCTGCAGCAGCCACCCAGATCCCACACAGGGCTGTTCTGCCTCTCCTCTGCATCTCTGCCACCTATGGGACAGTGGTGGCAATGAAGAGTGGGCACAGGCAGCCCCATGTGGGCTCCAAGCAGATGGTGCAGGGAGTGCTGGCAGCAGGAGGGGAGGGGGCCACTCTTCCCCCACACTCAGCTGCAGTTTGTTCCTCACCACTGCTGCCAGCCTGGGCCCCACACCAGCTCTGGACTCATCTGTCAGGCTGAGCAGCAGTGGCACCAGAAACAGGGCATGAACTGCTGCTGGAGCGGATGAAAGCGCCCCTACTCCTCGCCGCTGCTGGGCAGTGTTTGCTGGGGGAACCCACACGTGTTCTAGGCTCTGCTGTGGCTCCATTGCCATTGGCTCTGTGATGCCCAGTGCAGCTGCTCCACATGGCCACTGCTGCCATGCTGGGCAGCACAGAGCCAGGGGCAAAGGAGCCGCAGCAGAGCCTAGAATGGAGCAGGCTCCAGCAGACTGCCAGGTGGCAAGCAGGGGTGGGATGCTTTTTCCCCCACACTCAGCTGCAATTTGTCTATCAATGTCACTAGCAGCTTGGGCCCTGTGGCAACTTCAGGCTCACCCGACAAGCTGAGTGGCAGTGGTGGTGGGACACAAACTGCTGCTGGGGTGGGGCAAAAGCAGCTGCTTCCCCCCACCCACCACTGCTGGGGCTCCCTGCAGCAGCTGCATGGAGCCCACAAGGGGCTGCCTGTGCCCACTCTCCATTGCCACTGCTGCCACACAGGTGGTAGGGATGTGGCGGAGAGGCAGGACAGCCTTGCATGGGCTCTGGGCGGCTGCTACAAGGAATGCTGGCAGCGGGAGGGGGAGGGGCTGCTTTTTCCCCATGCTGAGCAGCAGCTTGTTCAGCCCAGATGGGTGACTGTGGGGTGCATGGGGTCGAAGTTGCTTGCGGTCATCCCCACCTGTGCCACAGGGCTGGGACAGTTGGGGCTGGGAACAAGCAGCCACATGGCAGCCAGTGGCAGCCAGGTGGGAGCACGAGACCCATGCTGGTGCCTCAGGGCCAGTACCAGCAGGGCCGAGAGCAGATGGCAGGAGCACAGGGTCCCAGCTAGCTGGGGCTCTATGAAGCCAGGCCAGCTCCTCTCTCTCCCTGCTGGTGCAGCACAACCCGGCTCCACAGACCCCTACCAGCCCATGCCCTGTGCTCCTACCACCCCATTCCAGGCCTCACCAGCACTGGCCCTGGGACACTGGCATGGGCCCCACACTCCTGCACACCTGCTCACTTCCACTGCCCCCCATTTTCCCCACCTTCCTGCCTGCCTCCACACCCCCTTCTTACCTGAATTTCCTGCTCAGGCCAGGGAGGTGCAAACAGCCCCACGGTCCCAGGCCAGAAGCCCCTGCTAGGCAGGGGCTTCTAGCTGGGGATTGGGGCTGGGTGAGCCCTGCTGTTGCAGGAGCCTGCCAGGGCTTCCCCTGGGACCTACTGCCCCTGGCTGCTGTCATCTTTCACAGACAGCTGGGGCAGATAAATATTAATTTTCTAAATTTTTTAGAGGTACTACATGCCAGATAGAATGGCCTGGTGGGTTGGATTCAGCTTGTGGGCTGTATTTTGCCTACCCTGACTGCTAAACTATGCACTAGGATACACTAAGAAGATGTAAGGGGCCTACACTTCTTCTCTCAAAAGTAATTATGCTCATAATTCCATCCCAGAGGAAGTTGCCTGTCTTCACAAAAGTTTTTTAGCTCAGCCATAAACCCTGGGTGCAGATGTACATTATATTTAAAACTTTAAAAAATGGAACTGATTGGGAACTTGTTCACAATTTTGTGAAGTGCCACAGCTCCAACAGTGGTGTGGGTGGAGGAGGCGACTGAGCACCCTCCACAGTACACCTCACAGTGCACAAGTCAGGAGAATACTTGCACCCATGTATTGGGGGTCTCAGGAAGTGGGTGACCTACAGCTGAGGGCATTTTCACTTTTCTATTAATAGTGTCTCTAGACACATTCTTAGTGGTGCCCTGTGGTGGTTGCCTTGCCTCATTTCCAGGATTTGGAGCACACAGAACAGGAATAGGTTGGTGGGAAATGTTTTGCAACAGCTTGGCAGTGAAGACAAGAGTTTTGTTGTCTAAGTGCTTAGATTATGGTGTGGATATCCCAAAATTGTTCTGATTAAGTTGTTAGAAGACATTTGTTGGAAGAGTGGCCAGTTGAAAGACACTATGAAGTGTGTTGCTTTTTTCTAGATTTTAAACTAAGATTTAAGGCCAAATAAGTGACTCTACAATGAAATTTGATTGAATCAGGTAGCCCAAACGCATTAGAAATCTAGCTATTTTATGGTACTACAATGAAATAATGATACTAAAAGAGGCATTTATTTGGTCACTGTGATATGTGTAACTTGTGTACCTTTTACTCAATACAGAGGAGAAAAAACATGAAAAATCATCTCCCACTGAAAAATCAGGTAGGAAGACATCATCCTTCCTAGATTTATATTTTTTTACTACTGTTCTAGATCAACATTAAAGTACTGCATTTGCATCATTGCTTAGAATAATTTTGAAATATGTAACTTGTGACATTTGATCCAGACAGTCCCCATGAATATATGTGTGTTGTGTTGTGTTGTGTTTCGTTTTAGAGAGAGAGAGAGAGTGTATTTGTGAGTCAGTTGTGTATAGTACCAACTTAGACTTTAAGCCTGTGGATTGTGATCCACAATCGGTTCTTTTAGATATTATAGTGGCAGGAATGGTGATAGTAGCAGTTAGAAGTAATAGTTATAGTAGTTATAGTTATATATATAATAGTTATAATAATAGTAATAGTATCACTAATATTAATAATATAAGAAAGAAAACCCCTAGGTATTCTACAGACTACAGTAAGACCTTTGATTAAATCTCACATTCACTGGTATGGAAACATTTATTTAGCTATGACCCATGTGGAAGATCTCACAGTCTGTAGTTGCAGCCTTGCCACTGTTAATGTCCAATGGAGAAGTTTTCAAATTGGACTTTCTTTCCTTCCTGGTAATTCTGACTGGTTCCTTATCATTATTCACCAGTGGACATTAACCAGACTCATTGCTTTCCAACTCTTTACCTAAATAATCTCCACCTCCATCCTTGAATGTTCTGAGGCCCCTGACAGATGTTATATTTAAGATGTGATTAGCTAGTTAATTAAACTGGCCATACCCTCATGAAATGGATGGCACAGTAAAACAAGGAATAAGCCATAACTGTATTACACAAAACGCATCTAATAACTTTGTGGCTGGTTTCCATCACTCCTTAACATGAACATGTGGCCTGACCGATCAGCTGATTGGAGATCCCAACCTTTATTCCAGTGTGCTTCTGAGACTGGGAGTGCCAGTCAGCTGATCAGAACTTCCTGTCTTGAAAGTGCACTGGAGACCTTCACTCTAATATATTCCCAAAGCTGGGAGCTGCCATGAGACAACCAGCTCTCTTAGCCTTCAAAGTGCATCAGAGCAATTTTCTCTGGTGCACTCCTGAGACTGGGAATGCTGACTGGCTGACTGGTGCTCCAGGCTGGATGGACTGGGAAGCTGGCTTGCTACTTGCCAGTGCAGGAGCATCCTTGGTTCATGATCCCAGGCTCCTGCTGCACTGGCCATAGGGCATGACTGCAGTCTGGTCCTTCTACTATGCACATGTAGCATGACAGGAGGTATGATTATTGTGATCACAGGTCAGATCCCATCATGCCTTTAATTGAATATCTGCCAAGGACCTAAAACAGGTTAGACAGACACTTGAATGGGATGGTTTAGTCACAGATGATCCTTCCTTGAGTAAGGAGCTGGACTAGATATCCCTGAGGTCCCTTCCAGCCCTACTTTCCTGTGATTCTATGAACTCATAGACAGTGGTGCCATGAGATTGTGATATAAAATGTGTGTAGCATTAATTATAGATAATCGCTTAAGGATTAATAGTCACTTCACTATCAATGGTTAATTATTAGCTATTAAATTATATGTATTACTATAAATAACAATGTATCATTTTGGTTTCTGAACAAAATCGGAAGTGAGAAATTACCATGGCAAGTCTTCTTGTAGTATATATGTCTGTGATTGGAAACAGAAGTGCCAGATACACTGAAGTCCATTCTTGTGAGAACTCCAACATAAGTTTCAGTTGATTGGATAATCCAATTTTTTATGCTTATCCAACCCAACATTTCCAAGTTGGTTCATCATGAGTGGAAACAGTTATTTCAAAATCTTAACCAGCTGTAGTACTCTATTAGCTTCTTAGCCCGTATAGAAAAGAAGCCTTCTTTAGAATTACTCCTGGTATACATACTGAAGCAGGAGAAGTACTAAAGCCATTGTGCATCCAACTGAGTGTCACACACTCACTTGCAATGGTTGCAAATTATTGGAATGTTGTGACTTGTTAAAGTTAGTACGCATTGCGTTCAGTTAAAATGTGAGCAGACGCACATTTAAGCAGTTAGCACATGTTAAATGCCCTCATGGCATTGCAGAGTTTTTCCCTTGCAGGCAAGGGTTCTCTCTTAACACATACTAACTTTAATACCTCACAATATTCCTATGATTTGCAGTTGTTGTGAGTAAATGTATAAATGTCATGGTACTATAAGATTATTTTAAGAGTGACAAACTAAAAGTTATGCAGCTGGTGGGACATGTAGGGATATAAGCAGTTCAGCACTTACCCCTCTAAATCTAGCCTACAGTGATTTACTACTTATGCATCTTTACATGTGAAGAAAATCAGAGGGTTGAGCTAAGAATGAGAGCATAATATAGAAATGGAGAAAAAGCTGGGATTTGAACATCTGGAAGTAAAAAGCTACAGTTTATCTTCATTCTTTATCTATAAATATTATGATTTACCTTTTTTACATCCTCTGTAGTCAAGCCAAAGCCAGCAGGTATATGATACATACCTTGATAAGGTTAAATCTTGTGATAAGCTGGATATGTGTGACTAATTTAGTATTAACAAATACAAGCTTTATATTGGTCATTTTTAGTTTTGCTTAAAGCTACGTTGTTTTCTCTGCCATTGTACATCTCTGTCATTTTTTGCTCGAATATCTTTGTTTATCGTAGCTCATTCCATTGTCCATAATCAGATGCTTTAGCACAGAATTCAACTTACACAAATATCAATGCAAATATTAACAAAGGAGTAGCATACTTATTTAAAGGCATCATTAACAGTCAATTGGAGTTGAGGGAACACCAGTATTCAAATAAAAAACGTGGAAAAAATGACAAACAGAACAAAATTTCCTCTTACTCAAAAGAGAGATAAAATGTAACTGAGAGAGGAATTTGCCCCAGTTTATTGGTAAAAAAGTCATAGCACCTTACTGGGCACGTCTGCACGAGATGTTACATCGCTTAGTGATGAACTACAGCATCATAGCTCATCACTACAGTGACATAGCGCCGGCAGGCACTAACCGTGACTCCACCGCTACTGCACAGTAGTGTCGAAAACAATCCATGCACCACCTGGACTGCACAGTATCAGCGGGTAATGCACAGTTAGGGGCACATGTAAACACACCCAATATGTAGTATATTTGCTGAATTTCTACATAATTCTTTCCCTCAGTATGTAAAGGTGAGATACAAAATGAACGTTGTGTTAAACCCATAAATGCTCCCAACCCCAAAAGATTGTTTGCACAAGAAGAAGGCCTCGCTAGAAAACTAGCATCTGTGTGAAATCCCCTTCATATCTTGGTTTGCTACGCATTTCCCAGAATGTATTGTTCTGTGGAATTATTCACTTGAAGGTCTATGATTCACTTTAACAGTTGTAGGACAGATGCACTTACCCTTATTTCAGTAATGAATTATATTTCTTTCTATCACAGCTTTACAGTTCCCCTTTAAGCACTCACTTCCTTCTACTCTCAGATTGTTTGACAATGATGAGATCCTCAGAGAAGGAAATAATGTCTAGCATATTACTCACTTGATTCTTCTGCTAAAAGAGTTATTCTGCCCCTGCATGGATGTATTTATCCTAGCTGTTATTGCAAAATGAAACCTGTTGTTGTAATTCCTTTGTTGTTATAATTTCCTTTTAAACCAGTCTGCTCATTTCATATAAATTGTGCAATGCTAGTCCTTTGTGTTTTTAAATCAAAGTCTCATTGTCTTTCCTATTGCCAGCAAAAATCCAGGGAACTCTACAAAGATTAGTAATTATTATGAAAACTGATTAAAAAAAGGAGAGAAAAACAACACCCCCTGCATTACCTCTGAAGTAGCACTATTCCTCTTACTTTCCATAGTTGACATATAATCTAGTCAGGTTTATGGAGATGTATTCTGGACTTTCGGATTTCAGCTAACTTAAAAACATAATTACTAGGTTAAAAAATGTTGAGTTTGCTTAGTACTCCTCTTTTTGAGAATTCATAATTACTAATAGCTTTCAACTACTGATGTGATTGTGTTATGTGTTCAAAATTCTAAAATTGCTTTAAAAAGTTACCCTGTGTTGTTTTTGCTGCATAAGCTTTGAATCTTCATATTCCTAGGTTGTCTTATCACTTATTGTACATGTGTAACTCGTGGTAATATTATAGCTGCTATATATGTGCAACAAGGGGTCATATAACTAAGCATTGCTTCCATACTGCAGGTTTCATAATACATAATCTGTTAGAGGCTGGTTGTTTTATTTTCTTCTAGCAATAACAGCATGAACAATATAAGATAAATGTTTAATCTTTAAAAAAATATATACTGATCTTTCTTATTATAAAATTAAACACTTTCTCTCGCACACACAATGATTGACAACTTGTTTGTGGTACTACTTTTATGTAGTGCATGAAGGTGTCAAACATGAAAAAGTTCTACAAACAAAAGCAGGTAGGTACTACTATGTTTTGAATTTCATTAGATTTGAATCTGCTATGTAGATAAATGTAATTGCAGGTAAATGTAGATAAATGATTGCATTGTTTATGATTATGACAAATGTCAGAACACGCAAAATGCCAAATATACTGTGACACTAACGTTTTATAGTCATTATATAGAGTAGTCTTATAGTTAGAATACTTCTGTCTGTTTTTTTAAATAACCAGCTCTTGGTTCCTTAATTTAACCAAAGTCAAGGGTTATGCCAGCAACAGAATTATGCCAGGCAAATCAAAAGACTTGTGTCTGTTTGTCTTAAATACTTTCACTTACTAAGTATCCTAGGTACCATTATGCCATTTATTTAGATTTCATTGTATGTTATATTCGATGTCAAAAGTTCATTTCCTCAGGACCACAAACAATTACATTTTCCTCAAGAGTAGCTAGGTACATATATTATATATTGGGCTGTTCAATCACACAGATTCAACTAAATGGCTGAATAGTCAATTGATATGCAGCAATACTGTACAACGTATACAATATATTTACTGTAGAAGTGCAGTGCAGTTGCACTGTGAAATGTTTCCACAAATAGGAAAAAAATGTAGTCTATTCTGGACATCAGCATGAAAACTATATAGAAGTAAGATTGTTATTAATTATAATAATTGTTATATAGAGTTCCTCTACTGCAGTTTTCATCAGATCTTAAAGTTAGCATTATTATTATAAAGAATTATAAAGATATTAATACCAATACGTACACCAATAAAAAGATTCTTAGCTGTATTAGAAAATAAACAAAGTCATTCTCTGCAAAAAAAAATCATGCGCCCCTCTCCCATCACATATTTTCTGAATGTTATTATAATTTCTTACTTCACAGACAAACCAAAAGCAACAGCAAGTATGTATCATAGTATATTTCTTGCCAATCCTGAACCTGTCTTTTAGATGCGCTGTGTCCTAATTTGGTCTCTGTTTTTTTAAATTGTATTACCTGTATGGATATTATTCTCCTTTTTGATGTTACAGGTGCTTTACAATTTTAATTATTCTGCTTAACAACATCTTACCGTGCAGAAGTTATTCATGATAAAATATTTCAAAGTTGTAGCTAACACACTAAACTGGTTTTCAGTTTTACTTTTTACAATTGCATATGTTTGGGTGTGGCCACCAGGTTTCTTTCCATACTAATATATAATCAGAATAAATGAGTAAATTATAAGTGAGTTAAAAGAATATGTATATAATTGATTGAACTTTGTTGGCTTACTTTTAATACAAAGCTGTTTTTAATTCTACCTAATATTCTATAAAATAGTAGACAATGAAATATATTAAAAATGAGATTCAATGGAAGTTGAAGGGGAAATTCTCATCAGAAAATTCCTGGTAAGGATTATGGAACAATGTCTTTGATGGGGAGAATGTGAGTTTGTGTAGGTTAAGCCAAATTAGGATCAATGTTAATTATGTCAGGAAAGCACATATTTCATATTTTCATCTTATGATAAAATAGCAATAATAATATCAATAAACGTTTGTGTTGATGCTTATAAAAGGTAAGGATAGGGACATGAAATACTCAAAATACAATTCCCATGATGCAAATACATTACTGTATCAATATTTTTAGTTGTTGTTTTTCTAACTGAATACATAATATTTACCTGGAAACAGTTTGATGACTTTTTCCCCCTTGCTTTCCTCAGGTCTGTTGTATGTGTTTGTTCAGGATATTACAGCCACTGGATCTACATATTGGCAGATTGTGCTGTCTGTGACAACCTGCCTATATGAGAATGTTTTTGATACACTGTCTTGTACTACAAAATCATAGGCAAAAGCAGATATTTGCTCAAGCCTTCTTCACAAGAATTAATCCCTAATGATTTTCCATTTCTACTCTAATACATGCCAAGAACAAATGATAGCTAAAATATGGTAAAGTAACCTGTATAGAGAAATACATACACCAGCTTCCTTGCACCTACAATTTATTGCATAAAGCAATCACATAGATCTTGATTAATCATTTTTAATTAAAAGAAAATTATTGTCAAACAGGAACCCAATTGTGTACCAAAATATTTTAGCTATACTGTTTACACTGACCAATAATTCCTGAGTTGATTTAGCTAAAGATTTGCTAGATCAGCTTTATAGACATATTTGGTATGACATGAATACTGATGGGTTTAAAATGATCTTTTCACTCAAAGGAGAGCATTTAATTTTGGGTAGGACTGCATGCTCTCTGTGGCTTCACTTCAGATGTTTTTCATTAATGTATGTACACTTCATAGTAACAAGGAGAGAAAAGTTGTGCAAATCAATATGTGCTGTGAAACCATGGATACTGAATAATCAATGGTAATGGTCTTGGGAGTTCAGGTGTAACAAAGTAAATGTGTACATGCATATTGAGTCAAATTCCTTCCCAATTTATATGCTATACAACCACACTTGAATCATTGGATGGGGTATAAATCAGGACAGAATTTGGCTCATTACATGAAAAGCAGACTATAAATAGAAATTAAAGGCTAAATTTGAAGTACCCCCAAATTATATACACGCACACACACACACACACACATACACACACACACACGTGTGTGGGGGGGTGTTTTAGTAGTGATCAACTAAATTAATTAGCACTTGGCCATTAAAGGAATTAGAAAACGATTCTATTTTCTTTATTTTCAATTTAATGAGTAGCAATGCCTGAGATGGGAATTAATCATTTGTAAAACAGGAGGCTTTAATCAACTCTAAAAGACATTTCTCACATAATGACTATTTTAACGACTGTCAAAGTATGACTAGCTATCTTGACAAGAAGACAAAGCTGGTAGCATTTACTCCATATATAAGCAATTGTTTTAATTATATAAAACGTCTGACATTCAACAGGATAGAACATTTATGCTGGGAATTTTCAAAAGCATTGGCCAACTGTGCTCCTACAGAATTCAGTGATACAACTCCCAACCACGGGTTGCAATTCCTCTGAACATATTCAGAATATTTAACAACACTAGAAGATTTCAACTCCCAGCTTTTCTAAGTGTGTATGCATTATGGTAGTCTAGCCAGGAACTTTACCAGTGGTAAGAGTGAGAAAAACCACAAAAGCAGTTTACATCTCCTTTACATACCTCCCGAGTATGACCTGGTCAAGTAATCAAACCAATTTATAGTTCAAAAGCCAATGGAGAGAAGTAGCTTAGCTGGGGATCCAAGTAGAATAGGGACAGAAGGATCTCTGAATAAGCAAGGGAAAACACAGCAGCACGATTTTTGGCAACCTATTTCCTTAACTACTAGTTAGGTATCCTGACTTACAGAATTCATGGGTAGAATGTCTAAACAGGAATTAAATGCTGATTGCTTCAGTATGCAAGAAATCCTGAGGAGTAAGGCCTAAGCAAAAACCCACAAAGAAAGCTAGGGTATCCTCTATTTGGGATTCATGGCACTGAACCCTCCACTGGGGTTTGGTGCATGTTCTGCAAAAAAAGAACGTGATGGTTCCCACCTGATCCAACCCCAAAGTTCATTCATTAGAATGCATAGCTAGGATATAGGAGCAACCTAAAGAAACATGAGGCATTATACCTCTCACGAAAGTGAGTTCTTAGGGTATTCTGTTTGTATCTGTCTCATTTCTCCTGTTGAAGCTATTATAAAATAAGTAAATATGAAGTAAAATAAGTAAATGCTCACTGGGTGAGAAAGAACATGATTCCATATCCTGGTGGTTAGGGCATTCATCTGGGAGATATTGGCTCCCATCCCTTCTACAATGAATATTTAAGTTATTTATAAAATGGGGAACAGCTTCGGTAGAAGAGATCCCTATTCCAGAATACCCAATACCAGTGGTTCCTAAACATTAGACTGTGGACCACTGGTGATCTGTGAATTAATGTAAAATTAAGACCACTCTTCCCCTTTTCTGTTAAAGGATTGGTGATAAAGATGCAAGGTGGTCAGTGAAAAATGACGACAATGGTCCAAAGAATTTAAGAACGATTGCTTTATAGTTGGGGCACTCACAGCTTGGAAACTCAAGCATCTGCTCAAGATCAGACAGGTTAAACAACAGTGGCAGATCCAGAGGGAGTGCAGTGCTACAGTCAAGCCTTCCCTTTCAGAGCACACTGTCAGGGAATGTTTTAAGTCCCTGAAGCAGATGAGAATTCCCCCCTCCTCCCTTCCTTCCCCGCTGTGCTCAGTGGCAACTCCCCTCCTCTGCCATGCCCCCTCCCCTACCCACTGCTGCCACTAATCCTCCTGCCACTACTCCTGCCCTGCTCCAGGTGGGGTCTGTGAAGGCCAGGCTCAACCAGGAGCAGCAGTGACAGCAGTGCACCAGTTCCTGCTCCCTGCCCAATATCCCCATTTGTTCCCAGGCAGGCTGGGAGCAGGATCAGGGAAAGGAACCTTCCCAATGCTTCCACTGCCACTATCCCCACCTGAGCCCAGTTTCCCATGCAGCCCAGATAGAGAAGGACAGGAGCATCTCTGGAGCTCCATCAACCCCTGGTGCAGCCAGAGACAGTGGTAGGTGGCCCACCATATTTATTATTTGTACCCATTGACAAAAAATGAAACATTTGCTAGACATTGTACAAACACATAATAAGAAATATTTCTAACTCCAAATAGCTTACAGTCTAAAATGACTGGTCAGACAGATGCATAGAGGAAACAGACAGAGAGTTGAAGCCATTTGTCCAAGGTCAGATAACAGACCAATGTCAAAACCCTGAGGATATACGGACAGTAGCATACCAGGAGTGAAAATTTACATTGAACATGCTTCATGGGAAAGAAAAAAAACCAGACAGCTTTACCCTTGAATGCTTATCTGAAAAGAACTCTGTTTAAATATTCGTGAGCCTGAAAAGCTTTGATTGGCAGAATAACTGCATTTGCAGAAACCACCACTTGTTGGATTATACTACTTCAAAGAACAGGGCTTGCATCTTTCATTGGTGTTGTAAGAACTCATTTCTTTGCAAACTAATATCCTGTGGAGAATTTGCAGTTGAAGGTTAAGATGTATCAAAACTGTCAATTTCTAGGGGGAAAAAAGAAAGAAAAATGATATTATGTTTGATATTCTTCTTTTTTTTTCAATTTAATTTCTGATTTTTGTCCTGAAGAACCAGCAGCTGAAATCACAGTTGCAGGTAAATATGATACATATCGGAAATGTCTAAAAGAAAGAACTAGTGAACATGCAATCTTGCAACCTCAGCTGCCATAAATCAGTGTTGCTTCACTGAAGTCTTTAAATCAAAGCTAATTTATTTCAGCCAAGCATCTGACCCGAAGACCTGATTTTTTTTGCTGTGTTCATGTATTTATTTATTTATTTGAGTGTGTATAGGTGTGAGTTAGAGGTGATTAACACCAGCCTGCTCAGTGCTAATCAGATAACACATACAGCAGAATACATTGAATGAACCTTTATTCCAGCTGGTTGGGTCACATAGTGTGTAAATAAACAAATCTGAGGCAGATTACCAGGTACCTGCTGTACTCAACAAGGAATGCTGGACTGGTACAGACACCTGAAGCAAATTTGTTCATCTCAGTGTGCTTAGTTCACTAGAGTCATAGCTTACTGGCTTTATTCTGGGAGGGACTAGGAAAGGGATGTTGCAGAAGGGAATACCCAAATGTCAAACTAATAAAAGAATATTGGTTATAAAGCTTAATTAAAGGAGTATATCGTGTTGTGGACATATAGTTTATATTGTATTGGACCATTCAATGCCGATGTAACTTCAGGGAGACTAATGAAGTTTAGATATTTAAGTGCCTAAAATAGGGCCCCATATTTTCCAGGCCTTGCATTTAATGATGTTTCTTTGTAAATCTTTTTAGCCCGGAAAAACACAGAACAAGCTGCAAAAGAAAAAAAAGGTAAGCTCTTATTACTAGAGAAGTGTTTCTATGTGTATGACTATGAATATGAAAAAATCACTGTATTGCTGCAGTATTTTGATATCATTGTTATGGCTATTACAAGTTATGCTTTTGTTATTGTTTGAAAAACATATCTGAAAGTTTTGCCTTGAAAATCTCTGAAAGTTTTCAGCAAATTTCAGCTGAAGGATAAAATTAATAGTTTGATCACCACTGTCTCTGGCTCTTCTCAAAAGTATGCTATGTTTCTCTTTTCTGAACAGAAAAAACAGTCGAGAAAAAACACCTGAAAGAGGAAAAAGCTAAAGGTAATCAAGGGGTGTGAAAGCAGCAATGAAAAAGGGTACAGCAGCTTTTTGGGTTTTTTTCTCAGAACTGAAGAAGAATGCACTGTTATTGAAGCCTTGTCTAAGTCTATCCCAATCATACAGCTGGCCCAATAAAAGATATCAACCACAAATATCCTGACCTCTAGGCTCTTGATAGTTCTTTCCAACATGTGGAAGTTGGATTAAAACTCAAGAATTGCAGCTGTATCCAGTGTATTTGGACTCCATGTAGCATTCTTGTGTATGTGTAGGAAGGATTAGATGCCAGATCCAAAAAAGGTATTTGGTTACTAAAGGCAAAAGCTAGATTAGACCATTAGGTACTTCCAACTTGGGCTTCAGGGGGCACATCTACATGAGATGTGAACTGTGCAGTAACCTAATAACACTGCACAGTAGCATGCCAGGCAAAAACCATGCTGATGTGTCACTGCATAGTAGCAACATTAAGTAGTAACATTAGTATTAAGATACTGTGCAATAAGCATCACTAAAAACCCATGCACCCAGTGCTACTGCAGAGTAGCATGAGTTACTGCACATTGATTTAATACTTGGTTATCCAAGTATTAAATTTAATGTGCCGTAACTATGGTGCATTAATGAACATGTAAACATACCCAGGGTGCTTAAAAATTAGGTGCTTAGCCCCAAAAGGGTGATTCAAAGAAACAGAACTAGATTCCAGGTCCCACATACAGTCAATGGAAAGCGCTAAATGCCTCTGAAGTGTGATTCATCCAATCCTTGGCACCAAGCAGAAAGCCAAATAAAGCTAGCCAAGAAATAATCCTAAGAACAGAGGTGTATGTGAACTCCTGCCCCTCTCTGAAACTTGAGTGCCTTCTCCACCCAGGATCCAGAGGAATTGTTCCTAAGAGTAGATAGCTAAATCAATTGAGTTCACATTCTCATTGTGTTGATGGTAGTAGTGTCACTCTATACCTGTTGTATACCGTATCTAGAGCATTTTCTCAGGAAGTGGGAAGCCTAGAATTTAGATCTCCCCAGCTAGGCAAGCCTCAGACTCGCATCTTGAAGGAGAATGCCATAACCTGGTAGAACTGTGTGGATGAGGACAAACTTATCCAGCTTCCTGTTGAAGCTGACTACTGTGCAATGAAGAATGCCTGAGTATGTGAGCCACAGAGGGACAAAGGATTCAAGAAAGAGCCTGATTCTGTAATCTAGTAGGTGCGACACTTGAGGAAAGAGGAGGGCGACTTAGGTTCCAAGCCCTACTCTGAATGCTTTTTATGCATTTTACGTTAAACAGTTGCTTGATAAAAAATTTAAATAACCTTGCAGTAGGGACCAGATAATCAATTTCTTTGTTTGCTCTTTGTCATCCATGAGCCTTACATTTATGGCCTAGATTCAACAGGAAGGTGTCCTCCAGCTATTCTGTGGTCTGGTGGTTAGGGCACTCTTCTGAGTTAAAATTCTCTTCAAGATGAGGAGGGTCTCCCATTTCCTAAGCTTATATAAACTGTTTTTCCTACTCTGTCTATGTGTTTGAGTAAAAGTAACCATAGCTGCTGCACTTTGTACTGAATGCAGTGCTCTTGGTGTGCATTCTCCATGCCTGCCAGTTTCTTCTGCCAGCTCTCTCTTGTATCTGGATGACAAAATAGCTTATGCATGAATTAGGTACCTACCATGGAAACCCAGTTCTAGGAGCCTGGAAACTTTACAGAACTCTGATATCTATGGTACTTCATGGGTGCTGGAGCCAGAGTATTCTGGACTTGCAATGCCTCTTGACATCCAATCTCCAGAGATTCTCACAGATAGCTGAGCACAAAGGAAAGTCTTCATTGGCTGTCTGTTATGCTGTCTCCTCCCTTAGTCCCCATGGGGGTAGGGAAGTAAACCACTGAAGACTGCTGGAGGATTGAACACCCCCCTATAGCACTCTGTGTGAAGGAGCCGATGTTTCAGGAAATGCTTCAAAATAAAGTGCTTCATAAATATTCCTCCTTTTTTTAAGTTGTTTTTTAAATACTTGGGCTAATTTTTAAGACTTCATTGGTCCTCTAACTGTTTAGAGTGCTTCACACAGCATGTCTGTCCATGGCTTTAGACACTCCCTAACTCCCAAGCTAGCTACCTCTGAGAGGTGTCTGTGTTGGGTCTTCAATTTTACTGGAACAAAGGGCAGATCGCTAGTGGCTTCATCCTCCAGATAAGAGAGCTTGAAGCTAGTGAGAGGGATGTTTTCTTTTGTAGGGATTGATGGGCTGATAAACTTTCTTCTAAAAAGCAACCTGCTAGATGCAATATGTCAGTCTTCAAGAGGGGTTATAGAATGGTGTTAGCAATGACCTGGTTTGCAGACAGTCTGAAGAAGCAGGGAGAGCGAGATTGAAAAATTCAGTATCATCAACAGATGCAGGGTCTAGCAACACTCCCCATCCCTTGAGCAGTGAGTGGGGAAAAACCTGGGACTCTGTAGGCAGGGTTGGAGTTTACACTCCTCCCTAGTCAGCGAGTTCTAGCCACATCTCCCCTGCCCCCCACCCGCTTCTGCTCAGCACCATGGAAGGGAAGGGAGGACAGCTCTAGTGCCCCCCAGCTTCTAGCCTTAGCCACTGCAGGCATATGCCTGCAAAGGGATGTCTGTG